GGGCAGTCCCAGCTGCAGAGAATTGTGTCAAAGCATGGGCAGATAAATCTCAAAAAAAAAAAAAAAAAAATCCCAGTCTTCTAGGCAAATGACTAGGAAAAGGGGCCCTGGGATCTGGGCAGTGTGGGGAAAATCCCAAGGAAAAGGGAGCTGGAGAATGGGATCCTCTCATTCCATGTATGGACCCACACAAATCCGAGTTTCATACCTAGGATGCACAGGCATGAGATAGACCAAGACTAGCAAAAGAAGGCTTTGAGATCTGAACTACCGTACAATCTACAAGTTCCAGGTTAACTGCTAAAACAGATCTACAGCAGCAAAGCAAAAACCTTGAAAACAGAACTGACACAGGAAACACCATTCACAGAAAGCAACACAGAACTCATGGTCTGACTGCCTGCTAAAACAGAACAAAACAAATCAATTTTTCCAGAGGATGTTAATAGAACCTAGAGTTTTACAATATAGTACTCAAAATGTCCAAGATACAATCCAAAATTACTCAGTAAACAAAGACCCAGAACATCCCATAATGCCAAATGAATTTCAGAGACAAATAACTAAAAGAAACCTTAAAACAAAACACAAACTTTAAGTTTTAAAAGATCTTCAAGAAGCCCAGAAAACAGGCAGTGGTATTACATGCTCTTTTTAAGCTTTCAACACATTTCAGCCAAGTCCATTTTATCCAGAGAGATGCAACAAAACTGAACAGAAACACTAATTTTGGTTTCATTACATTCTTGAGATCTGGGTGCCTGTCATTTGTGTCCTTAATAGTTTGCTCTGGCCGGGTGCAATGGCTCAAGCCTGTAATCCCAGCACTTTGGGAGGCCGAGGCAGGTGGATCACGAGGTCAACAGATCGAGACCATCCTGGTCAACATGGTGAAAAACCCTGTCTCTACTAAAAATACAAAAAATTAGCTGGGCATGGTGGTGCGTGCCTGTAATCCCAGCTACTCAGGAGGCTGAGGCAGGAGAATTGCCTGAACCCAGGAGGCGGAGGTTGCGGTGAGCTGGGATCGTGCCATTGCTGGGTAACAAGAGCGAAACTCCATCTCAAAAAAAAAAAAAAAAAAAAAAGTTTGCTCTGCATAGCTATGGCTCCCTAAGAAGTGAAGGCTGAGTGTTGTTCCTCAGCTGGCCTTCATTTTGAAAAAATGTATCACTCTGAATGAAATCAAATTGTAAGTAGACTGTATAACATTCTGCTTCCACTGACTTGATAATAGTAAGTTACTTGATATAGATTCAGAAACATTTCAGTAATGCAAAAACTAGTTTTATACTCCACTTTAATTCAATCTGAAAGGAATAAGGAATGGTGAAAACAGCACCCATTCCGAGTTTCAGGATTCAAAACTAGGAATGAGTGTTTATATTCCATTGGTCTTTTTAATGCAAATATAGAATTGAGAGTGTTAGACAATTGTGCACCCTCTTGCCTAAAGAGCCCAGGACTTAATTTATGTTGATACCAGATACGGTTCCGTTGTTGTTTTTTCTTTTTTTCTTAATCCAACTCCTATAATGGAAATAAATATGTAAAAAATTCTTACTTTATAGATATTTCATCACTAACTTTACTAGAAAACTTTATTATTTTAGAACAAGGAATATGCCCTTTAGTCATCTGAATAATTTAAAGTAAAAAAAATAGGAGGAAACAACTGCAACTAAAGACATCTTCAAATGCTCAGAATGGCTACAGCAGTCCACAAAAACTAACAGCAAGCCTCTGTTACAGAAAATATTACATGTATTTGGAAACTGGCATCAATGGAAGATATACTCACTTTTAAGTTATTAACCATGAAACTGTGAAATCTGGGATACCACAGGCCCATCATATCTTTGTGACTTCATTTAAACTGTCTGGCACTATGCAATGTATGCACAAAACTCAGATTTCTACTCACAAAATTAAAAGCAAAACCTGGCTAGGCTACTTGATTTTAGCTCACAGTCACCTCAATCTTCTTCTTTTTTTTTTTTTTTTTGGAGAAGGAGTCTTGCTCTGTTGCCCAGGCTGGAGTGTAGTGATGCAATCTTGGCTCACTGCAACCTCTGCCTCCTGGTTTAAAGGATTCTCCTGCCTCAGCCTCCCACCACATCCAGCTAATTTTTTTTTTTTGTATTTTTAGTAGAGACGGGGTTTCATTGTGTTAGCCAGGATGGTCTTGGTATCTTGACCTCGTGATTCACCCACTTCAGCATCCCAAAGTGCTGGGATTATAGGCGTGAGCCACTGGACCCCACCCCTACTTTCTTCTACATACCTTCACTCAGTCAAGGATCATTTGAGTACCTGCTACATTTCAGGTCTTGCAAATACAAAGATGAATGCAGTGTAACAACTAAAATCGCCGGGCGTGGTGGCTCAAGCCTGTAACCCAGCACTTTGGGAGGCCGAGGCGGGTGGATCATGAGGTCCAGAGATCGAGACCATCCTGGTCAACATGGTGAAACCCCGTCTGTACTAAAAATCAAAAAATTAGCTGGGCATGGTAGCGCATGCCTGTAATCCCAGCTACTCAGGAGGCTGAGACGGGAGAATTGCTTGAACCCAAGAGGTAGAGGTTGCGGTGAGTCGAGATCGCGCCATTGCACTCCAGCCTGGGTAACAAGAGCAAAACTCCATCTCCAAAAAAAACCAAACAAACAAACAAACAAAAAAACTAAAATCAATGACGTAAGTGGTATATTACATTCTTTATGTCCCTAAGTCTTCTAAAAAAACCTAGAGGTTACTATATACTGACTGTATCACTGTCCCATTTTACAGATGAGGAACATGCCCTGAAGTCACAGAGCTATGATTGTAGAATTTGAACCCAAGGCAATTTAACTCTAAAACCTAAATTCTCAACCATAAACCTTCACTAGCTTGAAGGAACTCACTTTCTAATGAAATATACAAATGTAAATGAACACATTAAAACACAAAAGTAAATGCTTTCATTGACATTTAAGGGCTGTGAGAATTCAAGGGACAGGAGCACTTATTCTGTCTGGAAAAATGTCTGCAACATTACTTTGAAAATAGTTTTTAAATATCAATAAATATCTTCTAGACTAAAATCTGGCGAAGAAAACTACACAGAGAAAAATGTGTTCAAAGGTTCACAATTGTGGAAGGGGAACAGACATCCAAGAAACAATGAAAAATTCAACTGTCACAGAAGAGGGTTGGTGGAAAGAGAGTAAAACACAGAAAAAGGAATTTTTACATATAATCTTTATTTTTCCCACGAAGCACAGAGGTGTTTTGAAATAGAAGTAACAATCAGCCTTCCTTTTTTATAAAGATGAATCTGTTGACAACGTGGAGGATGGACTGGAGTAGAGCCTGGTGAGAAAAAATTCTAGGCCAGGTGCAGTGGCTCATGCCTATATTCCCAACACTTTGGGGGGCCAAGGTAGGAGGAATGCATGTGACCAGGAGTTCTAGACAAGCCTGGGTAACATAGCAAGATCCCATCTCTATAAAGGATTCAAAAAAATTAGCCAGACATGGTGGCATGTGCCTGTAGTCATAGTTGCGCAGGAGGCTGAGGAAGGAAGATTGCTTGAGCCCAGGAGTTTGAGGCTTCAGTAAGCCAAGATCCTACCACTATATTCCAACCTGGGTGACAGAGCAAAACTCTGTCTTTTAAAAAAGAAAAAAAAAAAAAAGATTGTAATGAGTTGTCAGTTGCAATAGTCCAAGTGACAAATGATAGTTTTTTTCAGATGAAGCAACAGGGCAACAGGGATAGTGATAAGAGAACCTCAAAGACCTAATAGTAAGGATTGAGTTGAAGGTGATGATTTTAACTAAAAAAGAGATAACAGATGTCTGGAAGAAACTAGTTTTAGACTCATATTTTATAACAGAGATTACAAAAGGTTTATTCTGGGAGTGTAAGAGGGAATATAATGGTGATAATGGTGATTGCAAAGCACTCTGACTTGGGGGAGATGGTATAAAACTGTACTAGGATTAGACACATCCATAGTAGTAATGTCTTGGAATTTAAGACTGACTTTCTATCATGTTAATTTCCCTATGTAATGAAATGATAATTCTTTAGAAATGTATTATCAGATATTTATGCTAACAGATTATCTGGATACCCAGTTTTCACATAATACTTCAGTACTTAAAGGTAGTTGAGTCCAGAGAGAAGCAGGGAAGTATGTTACAAGACAAGGTTTAAATCTTAAAGCACCATCCTGTTTATCCTAAAGAGCTCAGAAAGAATGTAGGCTCTAGAACTAGACAAATCTGCATTCATATCCAACTCTGTCACTTACTAACTCTATGGACCCACATTATTTATTTATTCTAAGTTATCATCTGTATATTGGAGAAAACGTGTATCTCACAACAGTGCTACTAGTTCCTAGCACAGAGGTGGTAGTTACATTATTGTTACAAATACATTTTTCCTTGGCATGTTTCTTAAAATAGAAAATTCCATACTTACTATCAATTGTTTATATGTCAGTGCTTCTTAGAATATTTCCTTTAAGCTCCCTTAGCCACAGAGTAAAGTGAAACAATATGCAAAGATTTGGGTATATAATCTGGAGCAAGCACAAAATTTTTTAATTTTATCTTTATTAATGTGCATGCTGCACATAACCATATTTAATACTAAAATGTTAATCTTCAGATAAAATTGGCAAACTGAGAAAATGTACCAGGTCTGTACTACAGCAATGCCCATAATACAGTGCCTCGATTACCTCAAGATGTCTCAGATTAGAAAATTCTGGATGGCATACTGTACAGATTATGCTGCCTTTGGCAAAAAGCCAAGAAAAACCAAAACTACTTAACCTAAAACCCAGATCTTTCCTACAGGCAAGGAAAATTTAAAAACTAAGTCCCTATACATTTTGCCTGAAAATGTACTTGCAGACCTGCTTTAAGTGAAAAAAAACTTAAAATACGGGCTATGGCTGGAAAAAGAATAGAAGTAACTATGAATCTAAATTTTAAAACTTTACCTGTTTTCTTCTTTTTATCAGAAGTAGTATCCAAAGTAGTTAGGGGAGTAGAGATGCTTTTATAAGCATCTTGACTACATCCAGGATCATCTTCATCAGAAGAAAATGAAGATAAATGTTCCAAGTTTTTAAGTTCGTTATCAACTTTATCTGATGGACTGTTACTGCCAGTTTCAGACATTAAAGGTGTGGGTGTTATAGATGAAGGCTTTGGAAGTGGTGGGGGACAAAATGTGCGAACCATCTGGGTCCCTGGTCGTCTAGTCCTGTTAGGCATTCGTACAGCAAGAGTGGAAAACTGCTGCTTGGGCCCAGATTTCAGAAAATCTAAGAAAGAAGCAATAAATCCTGTTTTGACTTCTGGTTGTTTTTCCTCTACCTCTTTGATCTTCTGTCTCATTTTTTCTTGATGCTGATAACCATCATGGCAGCTTTCTGAGGAAGGAGGAGTATATGGTAAATATATATCTGTTCCCCTTGGATTCTGGCGTTTGCCTTGGGCAGGTCTTTTCAGCTGTTTCTGATTACTGTTGTCTTCCTCTTTAACTTGCCCTTTTCCTTTAGCTCTTTTCTTTTGAAGGTTAAAATGCATTAAATCTTGGTTTTCTTCTTCAATCTTGACACTGATTGCATCCCCAGATTGGGCCATGGCCAACAGTGCAAGTGCACTCCTAGCTGGGTTCACTGCCATACCGTCGTCACCGCCTAAGGTAAATTCACTCTCTGATGTCGCACTCTCTCCACTTATACTTCTACTACTAGAAACAAACTCTTGGTTTCTGTTATTATTTAATGTACTATCAACAGGAACTTCGCTGTCTTCTTCAGATTCATGATTGGTAGCAGACTGTTTCTTGAATGGGCCAGAACTTTGCTCCTGGACTTCAGGACTTGGTCCAATCACTGCTGAAGTTACTTTAGTTGGTATATTTTGACCAGGTGTTTCAATGTGCTGTTGATCAAGAGTCATTTTTGACTGAAGGGCAGGTACTGGTGAAAGGTTCACAGTAACCTGATTTCCATTTAAGGAAATATCATTTATATTCTGTGACTTTCCTACTGTAGCTGTTAAAGAGTTAAAATCTGAAGTCACATGGCTGACATCTAATGACTGCTGAAAATGAGATTTAGAATCACCATCTTCAACAGCCTGCATGGTTTCATTTGAAGTTGACTTGGAAAAATCAGAAGGTGTAACCCCACAAGCTGCTGCTGTAGCTGCTAAGATATCATCTACATTTGATAAAATATTTCTTTCATCACTGAGAAGCATTGCCTCTGGAAAACACATTGATCCAAGAGAAACAAACTGATTCTTTGAATCATGTTGATTTGTTTCACTAAAATGGCCCTTTGTTGTTAGATGTTGTTGCAATGGTTTTGAAGACTCAGAAAGGTCCATTTTCATAACTTCAGAATTTTGAGGATGGAGTTGCTGCTGAGAATGATCACCATTGCTTTGAATAACATGACCTTCCATCTGAAGGAAAGGATGTACTATTTGTTGAGGGCTTTGAACACGCTGTGATTGTAAAGATGCCTTTACTTGGCCTAAACCTGCCTGCAGTATTGAATGCTGAAGAATTTGTAAATCACAGGCAGAATCTAGAAGGACCTGTGTATTAGGAAGAGATGCCTGATGGCCATGCCCTAAAGCATGATTTGGAATTTGAATCTGAGATGAAGCATTAATTATTTGATCATGCTGTTCCTGGACCTTGGACTCATGCACCTTAAGTACAAGAGGATGCTGTTGCTTTAGGTCTTTAGTATTCAACCTTATTTGTGGAGTCTGTATTAAATTAGTTGTCTTCTTAAGATCAAGGGTAGCTGCATTATTGACTTGGCCAATTTGTTGGTTAAGTTGTGTCACTGAACCAACAACACTTTCTTCTTTTTTTGATGCTTGTAGAGCAACCCCAATAACTTGATCTTCAAGACGGGAATTACTTCTGATTACACTCTGAGAATATCTGTCATCTGCCTTTGACACCTTGTAAGTTGATTCTTGAGCATTAATTTCCCCATCAGATAGCCTTTGGGTTGATGACTCAAGAGACGATTGTGGCTGCAATACCTGTAACTCTTGCATTGGAAAACCATCTTCTTGCTTTGAAGATGTATACACATCTGAGTCAAGCTTTCTTTCAGTGTAAGATTTTGGGTCAGGGGAAGGTATGTTATTTTGTAATGTCTGACAATGAGTAGATGATGCAAAAGATGATGACTGGACAGTAGGCAAAAACTTCTGGGACTGGGAAGATGATGACTCTTGAGTCTGAACATTTTGGGAGGAATGCATAGAAATATAATTCTGGCTTGTACTAGAGTCTGGCAAATTCTGAGCCCGAGAGGCAGAAGAATAAGAAAGAGAAGGGGCTGTTAATGTTAGGGACTCCCCTGAAGCATAGCTTTCTGAAGGACTAACAACGGACAAAACTTGTGATTGAGATGAATAGCTAACCTGTGTCTGGCTAACTGGTGATAAACCCTGAGAGTGACCAGATGAGTAACTTTGAGACTGACTGACTGAGGATAGATCTCTTGTTTGAGCAGGGTAATTTTCATTTGTAACTGAAGACAATACCTCTTGCTGATTAGATGAATAACTAAGTGTCTGATTTTCAGAAGTTATAGTCTGAGATGACCCAGAAAAAGTCAGTGTTTTATACAAGGGCGGCAATTTCTCAACCTTGCTGGACCTATAAACCTGTGAATGAACAATAGATGGCACATTATGTGGCTGCACTAAACCGTAATTTTGGGACTGACTAACTGATAAAAGGCTTGGTAGCTGCGCTGTAGAATAAATTTGTGCTTGGCCTGATATTACAGAACTCTGGTTATGTAAAGGTTTGGAATAACTTAGTGTTTGCACAGGAGGAATTATACTTTGAGGTTTAGGGGTCTTGGTTGATGTTAGTGGTTGTTCTGTAGAACAGCTTTTTACTTTTGTAGTAGGATACCCTGATGATGGAATTGCAGATGAATAAGACTGAGCAAGTTCCACTGAGACCTGGGAGGTCTTCTGTTGCAATCCTCCATTGCTCACCTGAGTGGAATCTCCAACTGGGCTACAGGATAAAGATGACTGCCTGGTTGTTTCCTGAAAATTAACTACACTTGAATTTGATAGATAACTATGTAAGGAGTGCTGTGAACCAGTCAGTTGTGCCTGAATAGACTGGGTACCTGAAGGCCGCTGATGGTGTTTAATAACACTACATTCTCGAAGAAGAGCTCTTTCAATGGAAGCAGTAGAACTAGTAAAGAGACTTGAACTGTAGGCTTGAGGAGTCTGCTGGGCTCCCCCAAGTGCTGAAGGCAACAAACTAAATTGAGGTTGTAAAAGATGGGGTGCAGACTCTTGAGCTGAGCGGTATGTTGAAGACTGAGGTGGTATGCTGTTACTTAATGCAGAACTGCCCAGGCGCTCAAATGCCAAAGCAGTTGGAACAGTTCCCTGGGAAGTCTTGATTTGTAGCAAAGGGTCATGATGACTTAAAATTCCATTTGATGTAGTGTTAAAAGTTGAATCCTGAAGCACCAAAGGTGAGGTGGTAGCAAAGTTTCTATTGCCAAAGGTGGTAGGATGCTGATAAGCAGAGAGAGCAGATGGTGGAAGTGTTCCAGTGCTTGGCAAAGGTCCAGTAGCAAACAGCTCAGTTGCTGCTGAGGAATGCATGCCTATAAAGAAAAGGCACAAAAATTTTTACGCAATTATGGCACAATTACTTTAAGGTATGTTTTCATAGTAGTGACTTGCATAGCCTTCAAACCATCGAAATGTCTTAAGATCGAAAAGCCTGACCAACTAATTCTGCATGTATATTTTGAAAGTTACATTTCAAAATAACTAGCTTCCCCCAACCCTCTTTTTTATTTATTTATTTTACTGTGTTGCCCAGGTTGGAGCATAGTGTCACAATCATAGTTCACTGCAGCCACAGTGTCCCAAGTAGCTAGTGTATGCCCCCACATACACCTGGCTAATTTTTAAATTTTTGTAGAGATTCGGTCTTGCAATGTTGCTCAGGCTATCTTGAACTCCTGAGCTCAAGTGATTCTCCTACTTCAGTCTCCCAAAGTGCTGGGATCACAGGTGCAAGCCACCATGCCTGGATTAGCTAGCTTCCTTAGAGTAAAAATGAAGTTACAAAGGCATCAGCAACTCATATCTGTAATTGTTATATAAGTGAATTTATATATAGTTTGATAAGGTCATAGGAAAATGAATAACCCAATAAAAATGTACATATCTCTAGTGATTATCCCAAAGTCCCAACACAAAATACCAATGGATAAACTAAAATATACATAACATTAAAATAGAAAAAAAACCCCACTAACTTGCCTATATCTAACATGATAAATAAATCTAAAAAGAACAGTGAACTGCAGTTTCTTTTACCAAAATATATTTACTTTAAAAATCTCTTGCATTTCAAGTTTTGACTTCCTGTGAACAGCTTCCCAATAAGAACAGATGCATGTTTATCATGAAAAGTTAATCAGAAATTAATAAAGTGCTGTCAGAAAGGGACTGTTAACATTTCAGGACAGCATTTTAGCCACATATAGAAAAAGTAAAAATGGGTATACCCTTGTGATCTGAAAGTTCTATAGAAATTTATTCTATAGAAATAAGTGCATACATAAATATTCGTACCAGATATTCATTATAGTTATTGTTTACAGTAACTAGAAACAACAAAAATCTCCATAAACAAGGGATCAATCAAATAATTATGGCATGTCATAATAATACTATTGCCACAAACATTAATTAAGGTGGATATATATGTTTTGACATAGAAGGATATCCAATAAAAATAAATAACAAGCTGTTAGTTACGCTCTAAAAAATTAGGAACTATCACTTTCCACCTTATATACCTTTTAACTGTTTAAATGTTTTATGGTGAACCTCCATTAAATTTTATTTTTTCACTTTTGGAAAAATGGGGAAAACAATTCTCTGGCTCTTTGAAAAACATTTTCCTACTTTCCATTAAATATCCAAAAAGAATTACTACTATAAAGATAGAAAATATCTAGTGGCACTTGAAAGAATAAATAATACTTAGAAATGTTTGAAGTAATACACTGATATGAACTAGAATAGACTTTCGAGATAATATAGTTCAACTCCTTTGCTCTAGCTATTAGGAAACTGGGGTTGACTGGTGATGTGATTTGCTGAGGGTCAAGTGGTATTCATGAAACTCTAATCAACTGACTCTACTGCTCTTTACCAGAGATCTCCTATTGTTCTTTTGTGTGTGTTGGGATTGGAGGAGGGGTGGCAAAACATAAGAAGTAGACAGTAATAAAGAATTGACATTTAACTAAATGTAAGGTTACAAATAATGGATTCAGTTTTAATTGTCATTCTAAGGAAAGAACATGTTTTATATCACCTGTATCAAATCATATCTAAAGAACCAATTGTAATTACATGGTGATGGACACTATCACAGTTATGCCTAGAATGAGGAAGAGGCTAGCTAGAAAGGACAGAGACTATCTGAGGCTTAAAGTGGTAGTAAGGAGTTTCTATTTCTTGAAATTCTTCTATCCAGTACAATGATAAAGGATCTTTCTCACGACTTACTTCTGCATGATTTATTAGATTAATGTAGAAGAGAGTCACAGAGGCTAGCAAATTCACCACAGTATGCCCACAGAAGATACTCTGAAATGCATCTAATGCTCATACTATAATCTCAAACATGCCAACAGAAGATGTTCCTTATCATAATACACTAATACCTTCTTCCAACTAATGGTGTATTTATATGTTGTGTATATTCTTGTCTCAATTTCACTTTTATTTCCCATTCATAGTTTAGGTCCAGTTTAACGTGCTCAAAAATCCACTGAATTTATTTTAAGTGGTCAAATGATAGTAAAATCACTCATGCGCTGAGAAAAAATAAAAATAAAAAACCTTCTACCTCACTAACCTGAGATTTCAAGCCCTTCTGAATGCAATTCAATTATGGGACTAGATACAAATTGCAAAAATGAATTGTTAAAAATTGAAACCTAGGCTGAGCACTTTTGAGAGGCCGAGGTAGGCAGATCACATGAAGTCAGGAGTTTGAGACCAGCCTGGCCAACATGGTGGAATGCTGTCTCTACTAAAAACGTAAAGATTAGCCAGGCATGGTGGCGCACACTTGTAATCCCAGCTACTCAGGAGGCTGGGACATAAGAATCACTTGAACCCGGGATGCAGAGGTTGCAGTAAGCCAAGATTGTGCCACTGTACTCCAGCCTGGGCAACAGAGTGAGACTCTGTCTCAAAAAACAAACCTCTCCCAAAAAACTGAAACATAAAAAGTCACGAAAACTTTAAAAACAAACTATACAAGGGTAAAAACACTTTACAGAAATATTAAAAGATTTTTTTTTTGTTTTATTATTATCCCCTTACAAGCAGAAAAAAAAATGTTGCTAAGGCATATTGAGAAAATTCTATTAGTGGAATTTACATCAGAATGTTAAAATACTATTTCCTATAGCTATCCCTTAAAAATATATCCTCAAACACACTATGACATTTCTTCTTTAAAACAAAACTCCAAATAAAAATTCCTGTCATACTACAAAAAAATAGAAATATATATAGATAATTTTTTAATGAGAAATGGTTGAAAAGTAAAATAAGAACAATGAAATAGAAAAGCACATTATAGACCTTGTAATTGTTGCTGGAAAATGGGCACATTATAATATCAACTTGTAATGGCTATTAGTGATTTAATCTATCCAATTCAGGATAACTTTATATAACACTAACAATGAAATGAGTCCCAAGAGTTTTTTTACTATACCACCTATACACTCTGAAGTCACTAAAATAAATTTTAATATTTGCTTCTTTCAAGTACACTAGTAATTAAATTGTCAGATATAAGCTTTATATCAGACTTTCTTTAATCATTATCTGTCCCTCAATATGAACTTACTTTCATCAGAATGCTAAAACTAAATTTCTGCCAGTAACAAATTCTTGAATTTTAACCACCTTAAATTTTTGAAATATTCCAGGTCTTGAAATTCATTGGAAAATCAATAAGTAACAAAACTCCCAGCCACAATGATAAGGCTACCAAATGTATACTTTTCATCGGTATTTTTATAGGACTTAAAAATTCTAAAAACAAAGAATCACCTGTCTGCCAGGATGGAGCCCTGAATTGTGGTAAAAGAGTAGTTCCTGAAGCAGCAGCCTGAGCAGTTCGAGATTCAGCAGTAGACAGAAAATTCATCACTGAAGACTCTTTAGTGTTACTGCTGGCACTGTTTACACTAGTATCAAATATTCCAGAAAGACCTACATTTGAAGAAAATATATCCCAAAGTAAATATATATATATATATATATATATATATATATGTATGTATGTATGTATGTACTTATATAAAATTATATTCCTGACTCTAAAATTTCTGAAAATTGAGGCCAAAACATTCTACAATCCTAAATGGCTTTATTTTGAAATAGTAAACATGATTTAACCAAGCATATTTATAATTTAAAATCTCCAAAGATGCATGGAAGAAGATCTTTTAATTCATTAATTATATAAATACTCCCTGTTGGTAAAAATCAAAGCTTTGGCTGGGTGCGGTGGCTCACGCCTATAATTCCAGCACTTGGAGAGGCTGAGATGGATGGATCACAAGGTCAGCAATTCAAGACCGGCCTGGCCAATATGGTGAACCCTGACTCTATCAAAAAATACAAAAATTAGCCAGGTGTGGTAGGGCCCCTATAGTCCCAGCTACTCAGGAGGCTGAAGCAGGAGAATCACTTGAACCCAAGAGGCAGAGGTTGCAGTGAGCTGGGCAACAGAGCGAGACTCCATCTCAAAAACAAAACAAAACAAAACCAAAGCTTTTACTCTCATTTTCATTTTAACATTTCCCATGACATGATTATGTCCTACACATTCAGAACCCAACACATGAAAATGGTTTTTCTTCTTATTCACTAAATGTACCCAGATTCATAATGTATTTCACAAGAGAATTGTTACCAGTAGGTTGAGGTGTGGGAGCATATCCAGGAAGCTGGTGAGAGGCTGCAAAACTCTGTCTCTGAAGGAGATCTGTTTCAGAATGTGAGGGATGTCCTTCTTCATAGCTTAAACTAGAAAACATTGAAAATCAGTGTGACCAAAATACACAGTCCAAACCATGTGATAAAAAACTTCTAGAAGAACAACTATAAAAGTAGTAGAAACTTTTGACCAACCTCCTGACCTATAGATCAGTGGATCAAACACAGTCTGACAATATTGTCACAATGGAGAAAATATATTTAAGATGCATTAGGAAGAAAAATAATACACAGTATTTTCCTTAATTCAACTCTAACTCAAGCAAGAGTCTTTTTACTGGGAGAGGGAACATGGTACAGCAGAAAAAGCAATATCCTGGACAACACAGAGCTGAATTCATTGTCCAGGCTCTACTTCTGGCTTACAGTGTAATTTAAATAAGTGACTCAATTATTGTTGGACTACTTTCATCTGTATAAAAAAAGGATCAGATGAGGCTGGGTGCGGTGGCTCACGCCTGTAATTCCAGCACTTTAGGAGGCCAAGGCGGGTGGATCACAAGGTCAGGAGTTCAAGACCAGCTTGGCCAAGATGGTGAAACTCCATCTCTATTAAAAATACAAAAATCAGCCGCCTGTAATCCCAGCTACTCAGGAGGCTGAGGCAGGACAATTGCTCCAACCCAGCAGGCGGAGGTTGCAGTGAGCCAAGATCGCACGACTGCACTCTAGCCTAGTGACAGAACGAGACTCTGTCTCAAAAGAAAAAGAAAAAGGACCAGATGAAATAACCTCCACAACCTTTCTAATTCTAATATCCTATGAAATAACAGATAATTCAAATAAAATAATTAATATTATTTCTCAATAACTCATTGAGAAAATTTCAAGCTCAAACATTTGGAGAGTAGTCCAAAACAAGATTTACCCCCCATCTCCTTGGAAAGGAAAGGCCATGTTTTTATTTTGAATATTTTAAACCCATAGGAAAAACCAAAAGTACAATGAACACCCATATACCTGTCCCTTAAGATTCAACAACTATTAAGATTTTGTAACATCATTAATTTTTATCTATACACACATACCCACTTCTCTTTTTTTGCTAAATAACTTGTAGATATCATCAGTTGCATCTCATAGGAATAAGGACATTCTTATATAACTAGATATTATTATTAGACTTAAACACATTTAGCATTAGTTCAATAACCATGTAACATATAGGTCATATTCCAGTTTCCCCAATTGTTGCCAAATGTCTAAAAGTTTTAAGCTCTTTTTAACTAGGATCCAATCAAAATTCAATAACTTCATTTGGTTATGTCTCTAACTTAATATCAGTGCCTTCTCCCAACCCCTAATCTCAAATTCCTTGACTTTTTGAAGAATCCAGGACAGCTAAATCATAAGATATCCCAAATTCTAGATTTGTCTTTTTTTCTTTCCTTTTTTTTTTAAGAGACAGAGTCGCTGTCGCCCAGGCTGCAGTGCAGCAGCAGGATCATAGCTCATTGTACCTCCAACTTCTGGGCTAAAGCAATCATCCTGCCTCAGCCTCCAGAGTAGCTGGAACTACAGGCATGAGCCACCACACCTGGCCTACTGTATACTACTTATTGTATCACATGCGGAGGCACACAATGTCAGTCTGTCTCATTACTGATGAATCCCGAGCTTGAAGTGGTTAAGGTAGTGTATCCTTATTAACAACAGCAACATAGCCAGCCGGGTGTGGTGGCTCATGCCTGTAATCCAAGAACTTTGGGAGGCTGAGGCGGGCAGATCACTTGATGTCAGAAGTTCAAGATCAGCCTGGCCAACATGGCAAAACCCTGCCTCTACTAAAAATACAAAAATTAGCTGGGCATGGTGGCACAGGCCTGTAATTCCACCTACTCTGGAGGCTGAGGCACAAGAATTGCTTGAACCCAGGGGGCAGAGGTTGCAGTGAACTGAGATTGCACCATTGCACTCCAGCCTGGGTGACAGAGAGAGACTCTGTCTCTAAAAAAATTAAAAAATCAGCACTGTATCAACATTCCAGCAGTTTTACAACTTTGTCAGTACTTGATCTTTTCAGTCTTCTTAATTTTAGCCGTTCTAGGTGGGTTCAGTGGAGTCCCATTATGGCTTAATATGCATTTCTTTGATAACATATGAGGAGGTATATCTTTCTCTATGCTTGTAAGGCTATTCTTTTAGCTTCTCTTGTGAAGTTTATTCAAATCTTTAGCCCTTTTAAAAGATCTAGGTTGTCAGGCCAGACACAGTGGCTCACACCTATAATCCCAGCACTTTGGAAGGCCGAGGCAGGTGGATCACGAGCTCAGGAGATTGAGACCATACTGGCTAACAAGGTAAAACTGTCTCTACTAAAAATACAAAAACTTAGCCGGGTGTGGTGGCACAAGCATGTAATCCCAGCTACTTAGGAGGCTGAAACAGGAGAATCACTTGAACCCAGGAGGCAGAGGTTGTAGTGAGCTGAGATCATGCCACACTGTACTCCAGCCTGGGCAACAAAGTGAGACTCTGTCTTAAAAAAAAAAAAAAAAAAAAAAGATCTAGGCCGGGCGCGGTGGCTCAAGCCTGTAATCCCAGCACTTTGGGAGGCTGAGACGGCTGGATCACGAGGTCAAGAGATCGAGACCATCCTGGTCAACATGGTGAAACCCTGTCTCTACTAAAAATACAAAAAATTAGCTGGGCATGGTGGCGTGTGCCTGTAATCCCAGCTACTCAGGAGGCTGAGGCAGGAGAATTGCCTGAACCCAGGAGGCAGAGGTTGCGGTGAGCCAAGATCGCGCCATTGCACTCCAGCCTAGGTTGTCATCAATTTAATTACTGGGTATATATCCCAAAGGAAACAAGTCATTCTACCAAAAAGACATTTACTTGCATGTTCATTGTCGCATTATTCATAATAGCAAACACATAGAATCATGCCCACCACAGTTGACTGGATAAAGAAAATGTGGTACACAGACATCTTAGAATACCAAAGAACCATTAAAAAAAAAAAAAAAATCATGTCCTTTGCAGCAATATGGATGCTGCTGGAGGCTGTAATCCTAATCAAATTAATGCAGGAACAGAAAACCAAATACCACATGTTCTCACTAATAAGTGAGAGCTAGACACTGGGTACTCGGACATAAAGATGGCAAAACAAAAACAGAAACAAAAACAAAAACTGGGGGCTACTGTAGGAGGGAAGAAGGGGGATAAGGACTGGAAAACGAACCGTCAGGTACTGTGCTTAGTATCCAGGTGACAGGATCTTTTGTATTCCAAACTTCAGCATCATGCAGTATACCCAGGTAACAAACCTGCACATGTACCCCTGAATCTAAAATAAAAGTTGAAAATAGGCCGGGTGCAGTGGCTCAAGCCTGTAATCCCAGCACTTTGGGAGGCCAAGGCGGGTGGATCACGAGGTCAAGAGATCGAGACCATCCTGGTCAACATGGTGAAACCCCCTCTCTACTAAAAATACAAAAAATTAGCTGGGCATGGTGGCGCGTGCCTGTAATCCCAGCTACTCAGGAGGCTGAGGCAGGAGAATTGCTTGAACCCAGGAGGCGGAGGTTGCGGTGAGCCGAGATCGCGCCATTGCACTCCAGCCTGGGTAACAAGAGCGAAAACTCCGCCTCAAAAAAAAAAAAAAAGTTGAAAATAAAAATCAAACCTGATTGTTTCCCTTCTTTACATATCCTGGATCTACATTCATTGTCAAATATGTGTATTGGTAGTACTTTCTCCCAGTCTACTGGCTTGCCTTTTCATTCTCTTTCATTTTCCAGTGTCTTTATTTATTTATTTATTCCTTTTTTTTTTTTTTTTTTTTTTGAGACAAGATCTCACTCCGGTCGCCCAACCTGGAGTGCAGGGGCATGATCACGGCTCACTGTAGCCTCAATTTCCCAGGTTCAGGTGATTCTCTCACCTCAGCCTCTTAAGTAGCTGGGACTATAGACATACGCCGCCACCACTGGTGAACTTTTTGTAGAGACAAGGTTTGTCCATGTTGCCCAGGCTGGTCTGGAACTCCTAGACTCAAGCAAGCAATCTGCCCACCTTGGCCTCCCAAAGTGCTGGGATTACAGGTGTGAGCCACCACGTCCCGCCTCCAGTGTCTTTAAATTAAGGTTTTAATTTTGCTCATTGTGAATTATCAATATTTTTTGTTTTATAGTTAGTGCTTTTGGTGTCCTAAGAAATCTTCACCAACCCAAAGTCACTAATATACTGTGTTTTCTTTTATAAGTTTTAATGTTTTGGTCTATGACTAATTTTGAGATGTGTCTGCATGTATGGTGTGAGGTAAAGTTCAAGGTTCAAATCTTAAATATTTTTGCTGTTTAAAAATTAGGTATAATTTGCACAGGTAGAATTCACCTTTTCTTTTTATTGGTTTATTTTTCCTTTTTTTAAAAATTAAGACGGAGTCTTGTTCTGTTGCCCAAACTGGAGTACAGTGGTGTAATCTTGGCTCACTGCAACCTCTGCCTCCCGGGTTCAAGCAATTCTTCTGCTTCCATCTCCTGAGTAGCTAGGATGACAGGTGTGTGCTGCCACACCTGGCTAATTTTGTTATTTTTAGTAGAGATGGGGTTTTACCATATTGGCTAGGCTGGTCTCTAATTCTTGACCTCATGATCTGCCTGCCTCGACCTTCCAAAGTACTAGGATTACAGGTATGAGGCACTGCAATTGGCCAGAATTCACCTTTTCTGGTGCTTTTTTATTGTTGTTGTTGTTGTTTTTTGAGACAGAGTCTCACTCTGTAACTCAGGCTAGAATGCAGTGGCATGACCTCGGCTTACTGCAGTCTCCACCTCCTGGGTTCAAGTGATTCTCCTGCCTCAGCTTCCCAAGTAGCTGGGACAACAGGCTTGCACCATCACATCCAGCTAATTTTTAGTATTTTAGTAGAGACAGGCTTTCACCACATTGTCCAGGATGGTCTTTAACTCCTAACCTCATGATCTGCCCGCCTTGGTCTCCCAAAGTGCTGGGATTACAGGCGTGAGCCACTGCACCCCGTCTTTTTTTTTTTTTTTTGAGATGGAGTCTCACTCTGTCAC